CTTCAGACAAACACTGAAATACATGTTTTCCTTTTTTCAAATAGAATTAAATGTTCTTTAAAAATGCTTCCATGTTGAGATGTTGTTTTGTGAAAATAAAAGTTTCTGGTGAAAGTATAAATTTCATTAATCCAAGAGAACATTAACAGAAATGTGGACTAACTTTAGAAAGTCAGATGTGCAGGTCAGCACACAAATATATGACATTTTCCTAATTGGTTAAGTTTCATTGTCATTTTTTACAAATCAGGTTAAATTGTGTATTAGTTTTGTGTGTCTAGCAACTACGTTGGAGGTCATTATTTAATCCTATATTGTCACAACAAAACTCAACATTGCATCTCAAGTCACCAGATTTTCCTGCATTTTGTTTCTTACATGGACTTAAAAAGGACGTCAACACTGATATGTTCATTTTAAATATAGTAACTACACCATGTAAAAATAAGCCCAAGTTGCATTAAAGTCAAGTGGAAAGCTCAGAAAAATAAGAAAGAATTCAGTTTTAAGCCCTACTTGCATTCCAGTGGCTTTCCTTTATACAGAAAGTTTTGAAGCCAAATTCAAATCAGCATCTAATCAATCATAGATGTGTTCATCCCAAGAGGTGGTCGTGAGCTTCACTGTCCAGGAGAGGTCAGAGGTTAAACACCTTTAGGATTTACTTTTTGTTAATATCTTCAATCTACAAATTTAATTGTTCAATATCTATGATGATCACAGATTTGAAATTCCACTAAACATGTGATTAAAATGACCTTAAACATGATGTGTTTATCTCTCACTGTTCCTGAGATCATATAAAAAAGTGGAAACATAAGAATAAACTTATAAACTGTAGAATTTTAGGATACATGAAAGGAAACTGATCATATAACTAAGAATACAAGCATATACATTCAATAGTAAAGGAAAAAAAATAGGACTTTAGAGTTCTACATGGATGAGAAAAGAGTCTCTCTGTGTCTTTTATGCTGTGACAGAGAGAAGAGGCTGTTTGTGTCTCATGTGTT